AAGGTTTACAGCCCAGAGCCCAGCATCTGTGCGGCTTAGCAGAGGGAAATGTTGCTTGCCTTCCCGAAGTTGTACTTCCCAGCGTGTATTTCAAAGAGCAACAATCAGAGGTGGCAAGAGGAGAGGACACGAAACTTCAGTGACAGCCCGGAGGCCCAAAAGGGAAATAGTGGCAACAGGGCAGAAAACCCAGCCTTGGAGGCTGCCGTTTTGCACATAGTGCCCCGGAGAGCCAAATCATACGCTCACAAGTGGCTTCCACATTCTGAAAACGTTGAGGCATGAATCCACATTTCAGAAGGGAGATGTCTGTTCCAAGAATCACCCTCAAATAAGGCAGAGGCATTTCAATTCAGCCCAGCAAGCTGCCGAGTGCCCTCTACTCGAGTGCCTCTACTCTGAAAAGCAAGACTCCTTCCCTCCTTTCCTCCCTCTCCTAGAAGTAACAAGGCCCACAACGAAGATATCATCCTCTTATGAAGCATTTCTTCTATCAGATCACTCACTCTTCACAACAGCATCATCATGTAGATGGGTATTATTATACCCATTCTACAGATGGGAAAAGTATTATTATACCCATTCTACAGACTTTGGGGCACAGCCAGGACTTGACCCCAATGTACTAACTGCCTCCTCCCTAGGTGACTTTTTGGGGCATTTACCAAACAGAACTCATTCAAAGGCAGGCGTTTGTACCAAATGAGACACCGCAGTGTTTGATATTTAAGCGAAGGTTAGGGCGCGATCATGCAGATGTTGTTTACCATCGTGCCTCATTACACAATCAAATTAAAGTTGCTGACACACTGAACTTCGAGTCCAACGTTGTGTTTTGTTTTTGTTTTGTTCTGTTAATCCCATAATGGAATTGCTGATCCACTAATCAACCTTCAGCATGGCCTTTCCTCCTTGGGAGGGCCCTCCCGCCCGTGGAAGGAGGAAACACACTCCTTTGGAGGAAGCTGACCCAGCCCGGCTCTGGTTGAACTCCTGGGCCCGGGATCTCTGCTCTGTCAACTCTCCCCAGCAGGGCCCTGAGACAGACTGTGTTCGCCAAGGGAGGAAGAGAGGGCATGGGTGATTTCCTCCTTCATTTTGCTTGCTCTCTCTCTCTCTCTGGAAACCTCTTCCCTGGGATTTGAAACAGACTGCTACTTTAAAAAATTTTTTTTTGTTTTTTAGTGCTTATTTTTATTTATTTTTGAGAGAGACAGAGCACGACCTGGGAGTAGCAAGAGAGAGGGAGACACAGAATCCGAAGCAGGCTCCAGGCTCTGAGCTGTCAGCACAGAGGCTAATGCGGGATTCAAATCCACAGACCACGAGATCATGACCCGAGTGGATGTTGGATGCTTATTCGACTGAGCCACCCAGGCACCCCTAGACTGCTGCTTTTAAAGTAGAAGCTGCAATCTTCGAAACTGCAATCTTTTTTGCACTGAAAAATAAACCTGAGAGGACAAAAGACTCTTCTTGAGGAGCGGGGGTCTCTGGGTGGTGCCTCCAGCCTGGGCAGGGACCCCCTTGGTTTAGGGAACAGTGTAGACAGCCTTTCAATTTAATGGTTTCCAATAGGCAATACATTTGCAAAGTTCAGAGACAAGAATAATAGAAGAGAGACTACAAGGGGAAATCTTTTTAACTTTTATTTATTTTTTTAAGTTTATTTTTCTTGAGAGAGAGAAAGCACGAGTGGGGGAGTGGCAGGGGGAGAGGGAAAGAGAGAGAGAGGGAGAGAAGGTGACTCCCAAGCAGTCTCTGTGCTGTCAGCACAGAGCCCCATGTGAGGCTCCAACTTACGACCTGAGCCTAAACCAAGGGTCAGATGCTTAACTGACTGAGTCACCCAGGCGCCTCTAACTTACATTTATTTTTTTTAAGTCGTAAGTCATCTTTCAACCCCGGGGGGTGTTCAGACTCACTACCCCCAAGACCAAGAGCCCCACACTCTACCCACTGAACCAGCCAGGCACCCCTATGTGGGGCAATCTTGATCACACCTTTGTGCCCATCTTCCCATCGGCTCCCTTCCTTATAGGCAACTAGTTTTCTCAGTTTCTTAAGTAGCCTTCCAATTTGTTTCATAATATATTTTCTCACTTTCTTATCGAAGAGGCTTCCTCAGTTGGGGTGATACCACCCCCAAGGGGGTGAAAATTGATTTTGGGAAGTGAAAAGTTCTTCCCCTTTTTATGTGTAAATCACAAATATACATTAGACACGCCGCATATAGACAGATATACATGATATCAACATTTCACGGGGGAGGGATGTCTTTAAAGGTTTCTTGGTGGGGGGGGTGACGATGACGAAAAATTTAAGAAACACTGTTCTAGAAAGCAGTATAGGATACAAACTGTTCTGTACCTTGCTTCTTTCTGTTTACAATATGTCCTAGAGATCTTTCCGTATCAGTTCATGCAGATTTGCCATTTTTTTTTATAGTGGCATGGTATTCCATTGTGTGGCGGACCATTATGTGTCTTACCTGTTCCCTATTCATAAATACTTGATTTTAGTCTTTGGCTACTGTAATGCCATAGTGAACAGCCTTCTGCACACATGGAACATACACACAGGTCTATCTGTATATCATAGATGCCTGGAAAGTGGGTTTGCTAGGTCTAAGGCTCGAGTCCTTTAAAATGTAGGCTGATATGCCAGATGCCCTCCCCGCCCCGCCCCGCCCCCCCCTCCCCCCCCCATTTTGCACTAACTGAGTCTGTCATCCAATAAGAAACAGGTTGGTTGCTCTTTAAATGGCTGTCTGATGCCCCATGAGGATTATGTTAGGGGCTAGGGGCAAGGTGGTCCTAGGGGCTCTGGGGGCTCCTCTAGGCTGTGTGGTGTGTCTCAGCTAAGCAGAAAGTGGGTCCTCTGTGCTAGTACTCAGGGTACTCAGGCAAGGAAGGGGCCTCCTACCCTCCCCCCTAGTTGGATGAAGAGCTTTGGGGTCTTCAGAGGGAATATTGCGTGGGATGACCTCAGGCCGTGGCGTGGGATTTGGCAGCCCTGCCTCATAATCTACAGCCTCCAGTTTGTGGGAGGGCAGCTCCCGGTACAAACTGAGCACACCTCAACCTTGACTTTCCAGCCTGGGAGCCAAGGCCTGGCCAAGGGCGGTTCGCTCTGCATGGAACATTCAGGGTGCCACGCAGCTCAGTTCCTGACACAATTCCCTTCCCACTGTCCCGCGCAGGGAGGGAAATCAAGGGGTAGCGGCCTCCTCTTCCCCGGAAATCTCGGGAAGGAGCCTCCCCCACTGCGCATGCGCAAGGCAGGTGCGTTGCCTTCCCTGCAGCTCCGCTCCTGCTGTGATCTGGACTGAGATTTTAATTGCTCACAACACATTCGTGCTTAACACCTCAGCCGACTCCGCAAAGATTTTATTTGGCCTTAAATGATTTAAACCACTGTAATCATATTTGCTTTCAACAGAAAACTGCCGTATTTACTGGCTTGAAAGGGACTCAATGAAGCCCCTGGGGTGGCTCACCACTGCTTTGGGGTCTACTTGGATCCGCCCCTCCCCAGACAGACATCCCTGCAGGGCTGGGGGCAGGGTTTGCACTGGGTTTTCTCGTGCTTATAAACCGAGGTCAACCACATCACAAAATACAGAAATTTACACTGCCTTACAATCATGTCTAAGCTATCACTGGGAAGGATTTTGACGCCGTCATTTAGTCAAGACACCCTCTCCTTCCTGGACCAGTCAGATCTCTGAGCCTACCTGGTCTTTCCCGCTTAGTTCTGCAAGCAACTGGGGACTCCCACTCTGCTCAGAGAAGGCTTTTAGGTCCAGGGGATGAATTTAAATAAAGAAAGAAACATCTGCTGGAAACACGATTTCAAGGACAGAGTGGGCACTGTGGTTCCCCATGCCTCTGCGTCTTCTCTCCGTAAAGCTGAGTAAAGCTCCGAGCCAGAAGGGACATGAGAAAAGTGTCAAACAATATCAATCGTGAATCGTAAGTCACAGTTCCATTTGCTCTGCCACAGTGTAAAAATTGCGAGTTTTTCTTTAAGAAAGAAAAGAAGAGCTGTGAATGCTTCCTATCACTTGGCTGCCATGATACTCTCATCATCCACACCCACCTCGCTGGTGCACCTTCTCTCTCTCAGAAGACTGGCCTTCCCCAGGGCCAACACTTACATACCTTGTCTTCCCTGGGTGCACATGTTCCTCGCCCTCCCTCGGGTGACGGATATTTTGGATGGGATCCACGGTTGTCTCATTCATGGTTAACAACAGTGGGAAAAGGTGTTGAAATTGAAATCTCTCCTTTTTCTCCTTGGTAATTAATTCATATTCTCTCTCTCTCTCTCTCTCTCTCTCTCTCTCTCTCCCCTCTCTTTCCCATCCCCATATTTTCTCTCACCTGCTCGAGAATTCCAAAGAGAGCTAGAACAGGAACAAGCAGAACCCAGGCTTAGCAGAAACAATCAGGTCCTTTTACAAATGATCTTCAGAACTATGGACAGCAATACTTGTGAGGAGACAACTCCCAAAATTTGAGGGGTCATACCAGGTCTATGACAAAAATTCCATGGCTTCTCCAAAGCCCTTCCCAGACCTGGGGGTGTGTATGAATCGCTAACTTCTACTTCTAGGACCCACATCTGGCCTCAGTGGGCCCGTCTCTACATGGCGGGTCAAACAGTATTGCCAGATGCCAGGCACTATGAGAGAGAGACCTAGGCCAGCAGTGATTTATTATTTATTTATTGCTAGAAGGCTTGACTTGAACTATGGACTCACAGAGGGTCAGGACTGGCTTTATGCCACCTCCACACAATGCCACCAAGAGGGTTTCTATACTTCCTCTGGGCAGTGATGAGATGGCAAGCTGAGATAGAAAGAATGATCATCTGATGTATTATATTTAAGAGGTGTGTTAATAATATCATTTAAAGTCTATATCAGTTTTATCAAGTCTCCTGTAACTCAACTAATGGAGGAAAATGAGACCAGCTTGTAAGGAATGCAAGTCTTATTTATTCATTGGACATCTATTTATTTATAAATAAATGTGCATCGATATGCAAAGTAAATAAACATGTATCAATATGCAAAACACTGTGGTAGAGTAGAAAGTTAGACAAGATGGACCCCTGCCATCAGGAAACTTAAAGGAAAAAATAATAATAATAAATCATATTAATAAACACAACCAACTTTGCTGGGCTAGTTGCTAGTCCCAGTTCTATACACTCAGCAGAGATTTGCTCATTTAATTTGTACAACAGTCATACGTGATAGTTAGTTATTATCCTCATCTTACAAACTGGTACACAGACAGGTTAAATAATTTGCCCCAGGTCACAGAGTGAATACGTAAGCCCAGCTGTGCACCCAGAAAATCTGCCTCCAGAATCCACATACTTAACCACTGTACTATGTACTTAGACAACCATTAAGTGATGCAGAAATGAATGGGATCCTTAAAATTTAGTCTGCCATAAATAGGGGAATTCTAGGGGAATCTAGAAAGAAGATCACCTTCGGTGGGAAGCAGGAACTCTGGGATCTCAGCCAAGGCCTCATAGAGGAGATAGCATTTGTGCTCAACTTTAAGAATGGATGAACTTGGAAAAAGTGGACCGATCAGAGATCTCTGGGTAGACATGATGCGGTCTTAGAAGCGACAGAGAAACACCCAGCTTGCACAGAAATGGCGAAACATCCAGGTAAAGAGTTAAAGGAGAGTCGTGTGGTTTACAGAGAGGAGGTGCATTTTATATTGCAAAATAAATCTTCCAAGCACTGTAGGGCTCACTTTGGTCTGACTCTTTCACAGAATAGCATATAAATGGCAGGATATAAGAGCATCTGTCTGAGGGTGCAAGGAGAAACAGGGAGGTCTGAGGGCACCTGGCAGTAGTCCTTTCCGTGTCACTACGGACCCCTCTGAGGAAAACATAACTTTTTATTATCAGAGCTGGAACGGGCCCAAGCCGAGGTCCCAAATTGGCTCAGTTCCCTTCTTAGGCTGAAGTGTCATTGTGTTCCAAGGAGAAATGACTTGATCTTAGCAGATGGCTGTTCGGGCTGGCTGGTGACCAGTCTACTGCCCTGTCCTGTGTCCTCCTGGAAATGAATGGCAGCTTCTTTCCTTAAGTTTCCTGGCTTGCTCTGCTGCTGAAAATACCATTCTGGAAACAACACAGCCTCCGGTGGGCTCTGTACAGGGCTGTCCCAGCCTCCGGGCTCTGGGCAGAGTGACCTCCACCAAGGAAAGCTTGCCCCGACCACGGAGGTGTGGAGGGGACCCCGCCCAGGACCTTCCTGGGGCCCAGCCTGCAGCTCTGACCTCATCCAGAGTGGGAAGAGGTGCACAGGTGATGAAGGCCATAGCCGTCCTGAGACAGAGGAAGCCTGGCTGGAAAGGCCAAGAAGGGAGGCACAACATGTACAAGGACGACCATCAGCGTCCTGGTTTATACAGGCTCTCGATTGTTCCTTTGATGTAATATCTAACTTGGTGAACAGATGGTAATCAGGTGACATCAAATGCTTCCCCTTCCTCCAACTTCTCCTTCCTTGTCCTCAAAAGAGTTCCAAGTTTCTTTCTTTTGTTTTGTTTTGTCTTGTTGTGGGTTTTTTTTTTTCCTTTTCCTTTTACAAAGGAAATTAGACCCAGCAGAATGTAGAAATCACTGGCATGGTGTGTAAGGGGGAGGGGAGACGCATGGTCTTTGCAAAAGGGAGGCTGGCCATCTTTTCCATTCTGCTTGGCTCCGTGGCTGAGGAAAAGGATCCCACCAGTGAAGCGCAACAGGATTTCAGTTTCTGGGCACAGGACCACAGTGGGCAAATTCATTAGGCTTCTGCTCGCAGACGAAATCTTCTGCAGGGCAGAGCACGATGACACGGAGGAGGCAGCTCGGAGATGTGCTTCCTGTAATGAATTCTCCATCCCTTGCTGGGGAGAATAAAACATTTTCTTACACGTTTGTTTCTCAGACATCTTGGGCACACAGAGGTGGGGGGGATCCCCGGAACCCAAAATAGCACAGCATTGCGTGGGAAGAATGATAAAATTATGGCATTCTGGTGACAGACAGGAGGTTTCATTTTATCTCTCTGTCACAGGATGTCTTGGGAGGTTCACTGTTTCCACTTCTCTCCTTTCTCCCCGTCCCTATGTTTTCCTCCTGTGAACATATACATGGTTGCATATTTTACTTCCATTTTGGATGTTTTTCCTTTTCTCAGCCTGCCTTGGATCCATGCAGCCTAGCTGCTCCGGAGGGCTGTGATCGGCCCCACTCTCCAGTGCTGCCTCCCAAGGGGCCACTCCTATGTAAATGCTTGCGGCCCCAGCTGGCCCCTGCGCAGCACCATTCAAGGACCGGGTACAGCTGCTGTTGCTGCTATGAAGGCAAATGCATCCCTCAGAATGTGCAGCATGGGATTCCCTGGGATCCCTCCCCACTACCAGTTCACAGACACCAGGCAACAACCTGCTGCCCCAAAACGAAAGCACTGCCCCTCTCGCCGCCAGTCACGGCAAGCTTTTGCATGGCAACCTTCATCCTGTCCACTTCCCTTTGAGCACGCTCTTCCTCCAGTTGTGGTCACGTGCACAAGCTCCACAACCTCTGCGTCAACCCCAGTCCCGACCTCAACAGCCCGGGAGAGAAAAGGCGTGGTGGGCGCCACAGCCTCTGAGATGGGGATTGGCAGGGTCCATGCTGCCTCGATGCACGTGAACTCTTAGACGCGAGGCGTGGCTACCACTGTACCTGCAATTGTGAGGGTCTGCATGTGTGATCAGCTGTACCCACTGGATCAGGTGGGGTCTGATCAGAGAAGGAGAACCTCTGGGGGTAATTTACCAAGGGAGGATTTGTAGCGTTTACAGGGGCTAGACCTTCTGCAATGGAGACCGCAGGCTATGCTGGCCATGCAGTCCCTGCAGGCTGCTGCTTCTGTGTCTCACCTCCAGGTGCAGTTACTATAGGTCAGCCATCCGAGGAGAAGAAAGCCGGATGCAGGTGACAGCAAGAATGAACTAGAGCCTGCAGGGGTGAGGGGAGGGTCACATGACATCTGGAACCAGGAGGGGAAATGGAACCTGCTTCCGTCTCTCATCACCTTGACGCCGCGGGTGACCCGCGGGAGAAGTGGGTTCCCTGTGCTGAGAGCTGTGTGCATACTGGGGCCAGGACTTGGCAGAACCTGCCGCCCTGGGCCACCTTCAGAGCTTGCCAATGCAAGAGGGGGGTGAACTTCCGTGTTCCTCACCCCACCTGTGGAAGAAACAGCAATCCCAGCGCGGTACATTCATTCTCATCCTTGTGTGTTGTGTTCGCTGATGAGGGAAACACAGGCAAGAGAAATGTAGCTGAAATTAAATCTCCCTACAGCTTGCAGCCTGAAACATGCAGAGAGTGACCTTGCTCAAGCAATTCATGGCCGTCTTACTTCCTTCATGTTTCTGTTTCATTAAAGACTAAAAGTAACCTTATCTTAACAGCAGCTAGCCCCTCAAGGTCCTGAAAGCCTTGCTTTCAAACTCCGTAGAGACTTAATGCTCTCCCTCACCCCCAGAAACTTAAAGGTACATAGTCAGTCACTCCTCACAACCCTGGTGCAGCTCTCTCTGCCCACAGGTCCTGTCCCCGTGCTTTAATAAAATCACCTTTTTGCACCCAAGACATCTCAAGAATTCTTTCTTAGCCGTTTGCTCAAGAACCCCATCATTCACGGCCACTAGAAGGTGCTTGGTCAAGTCCAGAGACCATCCCCACAAACTCTGATCCTTCTGCAAGTTTTCAACCCACTCTGTACTTCTACGGCAGTCCAGAAATTAAGCGGGCATCTGCGTTGAGCCAGATCCTGGGCTGGGTCCTGAAGAAAATGCAAAGAAAAGCAGAGAAGGCCACTCGTGCCCGCTGGCTTAAGAGGTGACATACGTTCATCTGAAGCTGACTGACTTCACAGTGTCACACTGGTAAGAGGCGAGGAGGAATCCCTACGGGGACTTCAGGGAGGTTTCCCAGAGTTGCAGGACTTCCACCAGTGCGTGAAGATGGATGGAGGGGAGGAGGAGGAGGAGGACGACAGCAGAGGAGCACAAGCCAGAGTTCAAAAGGCTCACTTGGGGCAGGGAAGGTCCCCCCGACCCCCGCCCCAGCGAGCTATCTGACTGTGCAGAGAACGGGAGGCAGAAAGTCAAGGCTCACGTGGAGGAAGATGCTAGGATGTGATCCCCCCGCTGCCTGAGCTCCCCCATCGCCGCGAATGCAAAAGGTGAGCCTGATGATCTTCAGTGATGACAAAGAATAGCTGACGCTCGGGGCACTTACAGTGTGCTGGGGCTGGTGCGTGACCACGTAATCCCAAACTAACCCGCAGGTAGTTGTTATTATTGTATGGTATTTACTGTATTTATTTTATACTTCTGAGAGAGCGTGCAAGTGAGCGAGGGGCAGACGGAGGGAGAGAGAAAGGGAGAGAGAACGAGGAGCCCAAAGACGGGCTCGGGCCCACCCGACGCGGGGCTCAAATGCACAAACCGTGAGGTCATGACCTGAGCCGAGATCAAGAGTCGGACGCTGAACCGACTGAGCCACCCAGGCGCCCTCACGTAGTTACTCTTATTCCCACTGAAGAATGAGGAACCTGAGTCTTAGAACATAAGGTCTCTCAACGCCACATTCTTCACCCACCGCTTCAAGGCTGCCCACCTGGCCCTGCAGTTCCATGCTCAGTGACACAGATGTTGCAGTAGATGCCGGCAACCTACCCAGTGTTACGCTCATGAGGCCCTTCTTCTGTCATGTAATTTCAGTTCTGATTAGGGAAGCAAACCCCCCAGGATTCGAGCTGGCTACATTATAAGAGACGTCGGCTAAGAAAGTGGCTTTCTCTACCCAGGAGGCTGGATGGCGAGAGGGCCTCCATCACGGTGCGACTAGCATTTGCTGTGCAATGTGCACTGGGTAGTTGTTTCCTTTTCATTTTTTTTTAAAAGTTTATTCATTTTTGAGAAAGAGACAGGACATGAGCAGGGAAGGGGCAGAGAGAGAGGAAGACACAGAATCCGAAGCAGGCTCCAGGCTCTGAGCTGTCAGCACAGAGCCTGACATGGGGCTCAAACCCACAAACTGTGAGATCATGACCTGAGCTGAAGTCGGACGCTTAACCAACTGAACCACCCAGGCACCCCATCTTTGCTTTTCATTTAATTGGGGGGGGGGTTCCTCCTGCAGATTCCAGGTTTCTTTTGTGGGGGTGGGGGAGCATTTTCAGTTTGTAAGTTGAAAAGCACTCGTCGGCGTCAGTAATGAAAATGTGCACACAGAGAAATCACCGCCGCCCCCCAGGCAGGGCAGCCCTCCCTCCCCCCCCATCCCCAGGCCCAGAACTGCTCCGGTGAGCCGAGGCCGGCTGAGGCAAGGAAGCAGGATCGGGGAAGGAGCTCAAGCTAGTAAATGTGTCAATTTACTTGGGCTCCCTGCAATTTAGAAGCTGATTTCAAAGAAAAATTGCTTCGGGCCTCACGCTCCTTCTGTTGTTGCCAAATGTGGCCCAGTTTTACAGCTGACTGACCACGGGCTAAAAATGCGGGTCTCTGGTGGTCTCCGCAGGCCCCGCTGGCTCCCGGCCGCCCCCCAGCAGAAGTCACAAGCATAATTACAGCTAATGGAGGCAGGTCGGGGCAGGCCGTCCCTCACGTCACCGCCACCTGCTTCCCCAAGGACTGTGCCTCGGCTCGCACACGCAGCTGTTGTGAATCCCCAGTCAACAGCTGACATGACTCATTAGAACCTCACGCTCCTGCCCGGCAATCCCCTCACGCCTCTCGAACCTTCTCTGCTAGCCTTCATGCCCAGTTCACGGTCTGTGGCTGCGTGCTCCCTGCCCTCCCTGTCCTCCCTGTCTCCCACCCCTGCACTGGGTGACTCCCCGCCCAGGGTTAATCATGTTTTCTCCAGGGCCTCCACCCAGAAGGAAAAGAAACAGTCTGACTTCACTGAGGGTGACGGGGCAGAGGGGCAAGAAATCCTTTCCCCACACGCAGAAATCCACGCACAGGCCTTTCTCTCTGGCAGCTTCCATCTGAGTGTGTCTCACTTAAAATCCATTCCTCTCCGGTTGCCAGCCTGACATGGGGGATGAGGGGTTAGGAGATTGCTTTGTGGTAATAGGGACAAATTCATCTCAGCTGAACTTCCAGAGAGATGCTGGGTGTTTTGTTTTGTTTGGTTCAGGAAGGGCAGTTACTCAAATAGTGTTGTTTGGAGAGTGAATCATTAATAAGTTGTCCCCACAACAAACCCTTCAAGAACCTATCAACCTGGGTGGCTCAGTCAGTGTCTGATTTTGGCTCAGGTCATGTTCTTGCGGCTTGTGGGTTCGAGCCCCGTGTCGGGCTCTGTGCTGACAGCTCGGAGCCTGGAGCCTGCCTCGGATTCTGTGTCTCCCTCTCTCTCTGCCCCTCCCCCGCTCACGCTCTGGCTCTCTCTCTCAAAAATAAACATTAAGAAAAAGAAAAGAACCTATCAATACAGCCTCAGTTGCTCAGAAGAGAGATTCCTCCCGCACACGGCTTATCTCCGGGCAATTGGAGGATGCATAACGTCTGTTCAAAGAGCACCTGTTTGGGGAAGCTTTGGGATGGCGTCTAAGCCAGCAGGGCTACTCTAGGCTACGGTGAACCGTGGGAGGCCAAAAGCAAACGGATGTGCCACCTGCAGGTGGGGCCCAGCCGACAGAACAGGGTAGACCAGATGACCTTTCTCCTCTGGTGCTCTCTGGTTCTGGGCTCCTTACCTGAACTTCCTTCTTTTGTGAAGACAACCATCTAGACGAATGGAGATGACCTTTGAAGACCAATCGCGACCTTCCACTGGGACATTTGCATGTGATTCCTACGGAAAGGTCACCAGAGAATTCCGTGGTTGAAGAGCATCTTTTCAAACAACAAATGTGACAATTAAAACAAAGCACCCTTCTCATGTGGTGGCAGTGCGGAAGCAGCTGGGCTCCAGGATGGCTTGGCCGGCGCAGGCCTGTGGCATTTGTCACCTAAGGGAAACAATAGCATCTCTGTAGGCATTTCTGTCTGAAAGGGCGAGAGCTGTTGCCAGCTGCTCGGCTCAGGCCAACAAGAGAGGGGCAACAGGAGAACACCCATCGTGACTGTGGGGCATCCTCGCACCTTCCCAAAGCCCCCATATTGTCCTGCCCCCTCGTGACGGGGTGCGCATGCGCATACCGGTGACAAAGGCAGGGTCTTGATTCCGGAGCTGGACATGAAGCTTCGGGCACAGGGTAGGCGCGGTGGCTGTGGGTGTGTCTCTTCCATTCCACTCGGAAATAGCCAGGTCGCTCACAGCTCTGTCCTCCAATTGAAAAATGTACGTTGGACTGTAAGCCACAAATACACATCTCACTTTCTCCCATTTTTTTTCCAGTCTCCGGTGGAACCAAGTCTTCCATGGAAGCGACCATTTATGGATAGATTATGGTTCCTCTTAGAAGACTCTCAAATGCTGGTCATCCTGGTGGATACTCTGTTCAGAGGGAAACTGACCCATGTAAAGCCCTTGCTGCTTCTCCATCTAGATCCCTCCCACGCAGCTCATCGGTCAAGGGCTGGGGCCTAACCCATAAAAAGAACCAATGGACACCTTTCCAATGACTTAGGAGCCATATGGTTTCTAAGAAAATAACTATGTAAGTGGAGGAGGAAACATTGAACCTATTACATTCTCTCTCTCCCTCTCTCTCTCTCCCTCTCTCTCTCTTTCTCCCTTGAAGCTGAGCCATGAATAAGAGAATTTCCCATTGGGAGGAGAAATCGTTTCTGAAGAGTCATGAAGTAAATTTAGAACTAAAGAAGCCAAAGGTAAGGGTGAGTTGGGGCAGTGGGCAAACACAAGGAACCACTGATGGTTGTGAGTGAGCAAGAAAGAGACACAGCAGGTAGGTATTTTGTCCTGATGGTGCAGTATTTGAGGAGGACCCCACAGAAGCCCCCTTGAATCCTTCTGTTCCATTTCCAGATGACCCTTCTGTACCTCGGTTTTCTGTCCTAGGCTTCGGACTTCCTCATTGTTGCACATATACCTTAAGATTAATTCCCCTTCACTTTGGCTAGCTTCAAGAAGTCTCTATCCCTTCCCTGAAGATAAACCTGGAAAACAGAACAACAGACACCCTGGGGAGACTAGCTTTCCCAGGGTCCAAAAAAGAAAGGGTGATTATATTAAGTACACATTTAAGGAGCACCTGGGGGCTCAGTTGGTTAAGCGTCCGATTCTTAATTTTGGCTCACATCATAATCTCACAGTTTTGTGAGTTTGAGCCCCGCGTCGGGCTCTGTGTGCTGACTACACAGGGCCGACTTGGGATTCTCTGTCTCCCCCTCTGTCTCCCCCTCCCCTGCTCTCACTCTCTCGTCTCTCTCTCAAAAAAAAATTTTTAAAAGAACACATTTAATTGTTGCTGTTCTATTTGATGAAAGGAAGGAGGAAAAAGAATTCTGATCTACAAGGCGATCACCAGATCCAGGGAAGGTGATCAGGCAGCCAAAGGCATTGGCTGTAATTTATACAGATTATTGTATATTATATTGTATATTATAATCTGTAATTTATACAGATTATTGAGTAACCTGACTGCCTCAGAGGGAGAGAGAGGGGAGTCTGATCTCTCCTGCTAGGAGGGCTGTCCCTTTGGAGACGTGAAAAACTGAAGTCACGGCAGGCAGCTTTCATGTCCCCCCTCTGGGAAAGACCAGCAACATTGGCACCCCAGCACATGTGGCCTAAGAGGTCAAAGCCCTATTCTGCCTGGTTCCTTGAGCCTTGTGGACACTGACCCAAGATGAGAGATTCACATTCCAAACTGGGTGTCAGTCACTCAGGCGTTTTATCTTTTTTCCTGTTGTATCTATAATGAACACGCTCTAGGAGAGGAAGAATGCACAGTATTTTAACAAGTGTCGAGAAGCTTCTATGCCATTACATATTCATTACAGCCTGTTTGAGGAGGCTGGGAGGACCCAGGTAGAGCAGGTTATATAATATTTAAAAACCTCAGCTAACCAGGGGCGCCTGGGTGGCGCAGTCGGTTAAGCGTCCGACTTCAGCCAGGTCACGATCTCACGGTCCGTGAGTTTGAGCCCCGCGTCGGGCTCTGGGCTGATGGCTCAGAGCCTGGAGCCTGTTTCTGATTCTGTGTCTCCCTCTCTCTCTGCCCCTCCCCCATTCATGCTCTGTCTCTCTCTGTCCCAAAAATAAATAAACGTTGAAAAAAAAAAACCTCAGCTAACCAGAAGTCAGCTAACCATAACTTCTCAATTAACCAGACATTTAACTGTTACTTTTATAAACATAAACCAAAAACAATAAAAATACAAATAAAAAATGTCAGACTAGGTTATGTCTCAGCAGCTACACATTAGAGATCTCTAGGACCAGGACCTTGAGATGTTGCAGGATCTTGACTCGTGTGAAAATGTTTGGCTTGCTCATCAACCTCTACTGACAAAGGCATGGGTGTGATCACAAGTATTTTGGGCAGATTTGCAACAAGTTTCTATTTTGGAAGCAGGGAATTGGATGTTTAAATGTCCACCTATGAGATCCTAAACATAAGTGTTTAAGATTATACCAGCCTGAATATCACATTTTCTTCTGGAGAAGAGGGATCTTGAGGGGGGATTTGTCCACATGCCAAGCTAGACAAAAGCCTCAAGTACTCAAAGGCATCAGTGAGCCATTGGACAGAAACAGGTCTTGGGATTTGGACTCGTTTGGTCAAGAGACATGGGTTCCAGCCTCAGCCTTGCCAGTCAGGGAATGACTTTGAGAAAGCTTGGTCCCATTTTCCTTGGCTGCAAAGTGGAGAGACTGTATTAATGTCTAAAATGGCCTATCTTCAGAGATGACCTCACTTCCAAAACCTGCTCCATCAAGTGGAGAGTAAATTTAGAGGCTACCTGTCTTATTTTGAGCCTCAACTCAAGGCAAGTGATGGAGGAAGATACCTTTGAGAAAATCCCAAGCTCTGTATTACAGTTTTGCCCTCTGAGGGAAACTCCACCTGGGATAATCATCCTCCATATGTAGTCCTAGTTGTAGTTCACAAACTACTTTTCTTGATATAGAAAGATCTTGAAGGTCCTAGCCCATCACTCAGATTTGGCATTTAAAGACATATTCCTCCCACACTGGGAACTCCCTGACCAGAACTGAGATTATGTAGCCATGAAGACCCCTTTTAGTGTCTCTCAGACCCTTCATCCCAGATCAAATCCAGAAGTTCTTCCAAATCCATTTGGAGGTGAGGCAATGGGAGGTTTTGTGTGGGAAAAGGATGAGATGCTTCCTTCCTCTTAGAGCTGGGTGACCTCCCTCTTCAGGACTCCCACAGCCTCACTGGCCAAGGGGTCAGGGGCCTGTAAAATAGGGTAGAACCGGGTTTCCTCTCAGACCCCAAAAATCAACCCATTGCAACAGGTGCGTGTGATCTATCTACTGTAATCAGACTGGGAGAGAGAATATTCCTAATGGTTACTGCCTTGGGCTCTGGGGCCACAAAGTTGGGACAAGTGACTTCATCTACTAAGGCTTTAATCTCCTCATCTGTAAAATGGGCTTAAAAACAGTCTGCACTTCATAAGGTTGGTGCACCAATTCAGTGAGAGAGTTTATGCCAAGTACTTGGTGTGTAGGAAGTGTTTAGTAGCATGTAGCTCATGTTTTGTTGTGTCCCAAGGATCCCCCAAACCCTTCTGTGTTCGCCCAAAGTCTCCTGAAGACAGGGCATCACAGGAGTTAAATTTGATATGACCTCCGTGTCTCATCTAGGAGAAGGAACTGATGAGCCTTCCGATTTGTGGTGAGCACGAAGTGGTTCATTGGGTCTGAGCCGACAGCTCTGATTTTTGCACCTGTGACTTCACTCAGTCCAGAAGCGCCACCTCTGCTTTCCGTAGATAAAGGTGAGAAATTAGTCATTTTTGTCACCTTCCTTCCAGCCTCGATAATTTCAGTTGCACCTATGTTCGTTAGAGTTCCATAACTTTTAGTTGAGGTTTGGGCATTCAAACACACCCAGGCTCGATTAGAAAGGAAGAAGTTGCATCATTTCATAAAAAGAGGAATAATACCCAGAGTCTTAGTGTGGCACCCGAGGCTGAACCAAGGGGATCAAGGGCGCGGTCAGGGGTTCACTCATTCTGCCTCTGCCATTTGCCAGCTGTGGACAAGTCGGACTTCTCCAAGACCACACTTCCTTCTTTATGAGGAGGAGAAGGTAAAAGCCTGGCAATGTTCCCTTCCTAGGGTCATGGTGGAGACAGCGTTCTACAGCTCACCATTTGTTGGTGCCGAGTCTACTCAGCTTCTCTCCCAGACCCGTTGATGGCTGGTAGGCAACTGCATTAACCATTTGGTATCCCTCCATCAACTGGCAACCAAAAGCAGGCAGCTAGCTCATCCACCCGCCGGACTGGGCTCCCAACTTGGGGCAAGTCTACCTACTTGGACTGCGCCAGTACAGCCCTGAGCCTGCAAATCCACCACCGGCAGGGGGAGCACTTCCCCATCTCCCACAGGTAGTCACCCTCCTCCACACCTGGGGGGGAGGGGGGGAGCAGCCTGGAGGCAACAGAACGGGGACCTTCAGCACCTGATTCCTACTAAAGATCGCCAGCCCCTAGACAGAGTCCACATCCAGCTGGAATGTGGTAGGGACGTCATGACTCCGGGTTGTGGCTCTGATAAGATACACAGAAAAGCCTCCTCCTCCTCCTGTCCTTCTCCTGAGGATCTCTGAGTCCTCCAGTGGAACTCTGCCCTGCTCGCCCATCTGATGTCCCATCAAGTCTTGGTCACAGCATTTCCAACCTGGCCTTCACTGTTTCTTTGTTTCATTTTTTACTATTCAACATTCAGTCATTCATAGCAAGGACCCTGGTCTCACACTACCTGAATTTCAATGCTGCTTCCTACATATGCGACATTAGCCAAGTTACCCAATCTGTGTCTCCTGTTCTGCACCTGTTAAAAAAAAAAAAAAAAAAGGTAATAATAGCTCCTCCTTTTATACAGCTGTCCTGAGGACTGAGTGAGTTTATGCAGGTAGAGTGGTTGTCAGAGTCTAAACACTGTATTACTGCTGGCTTCTTGTTACTGTGTTCTTATGCCTCAGTGACATCTCGTAATTAGTGGCGTTGTGAGGAGGTATCATCTCACAGGAGGAAGGGAGCAGAGACTGTCCAGTCAGCTCTCCACCAGGACGCTGAGTGAATCCATTGTGTTGCAAAACACAGTTGGACTCTTCTTTGTTTATCATGATCCTAGGGCAGCTCAGTCCTTCCTGTTCTTGGGATGGTTTCTCTTCTTCCGGAACTTTCTGTTTATTTCTGTAGATCCACCCTCCCCAGTTACACAGAGAGAAATAGAGATCTATATTTTACAAAAAGACATAGATAATTTTTTTTAAAAAACTCAAACTACCCAAACACGTCAACTTCACCACTGTCATGCTTAATCCCACACCATGGTGCGAGATGGGGAAGAAAAAGGCAGTTATGCCTGTTCTCGCTCTCCCTAAATGCGGGATGGTTTGGTTCTTCTGAATATTTATCCTGAAGAGCCGTCTTTTTAATGTCTTCAACAACAAGGGGCACCTGGGTGGCTCAGTTGTTTAAGCGTCTGACTCCGGCTCAGGTCATGATCTCGTGGTCCGTGAGTTCGAGCCCTGCGTCAGGCTCTGTACTGATGGCTCAGAACCTGGAGCCTGCTTCAGATTCTGTGTCTCCCTCTATCTGCCCCTCCCTGGCTTACACTCTGTCTCTCTCTCTCAAAAATAAATAAACCTTAAAAAAAATTAAACAATAAAATCTTCAACAACAAGAGGAGTAGAATTAATGAAGAATTCTCACAGGTAAACCTGTCTTTTTTGGCCACTTGGGTAAAAGTGGAAATAATGTTCCCAAACCCTACCCCACATCCTCTCCCTACCCAGACCCCAATCCTCACGGCCCTGATAGCAGCTCGGGGACAAAGTCATCTTCCCAGAAAGTGCTGGCCAAAGACACAGGGGGAGGAGGGTGGGGTGGGGGCGGGGAGGGAGCTACCTCCGCTTTGAACCAGACTCTGCACCCTGCTCACACCCCACCCCTCCATCCGGGTGGCACAACGTATACCCCGGGCATTTCCAAATCATTGCCCATCAGCTTCCCAGTAAAACAAAAAGGCCATAGCTGGCACTTTAATTCTCTCCCCACCCAAGCTGTTCATGCAAGAAAAAAAAAAATTTTTTTAAGACTACAAGTTGAAAGGCTTTTTTTTAAGCGCCTACCCACATTAAAGGAGGACTATTTAATTCTAGAGCTACAGCTACAAGATCAAAAATAGGAATAATTAAAGCCTGAGATGTAACTGTTAAGAAAGGCGTTTTTTATTTTCTTTGCCAAGTCCTTAAACAGGTAAACCTCATATTTAAAGAAAGCACTAAGATTTGAAAATCCCAATGGGAATTTTTTTTTCTTGTTTAAGGCATAACGAATTCAGTCTTCAGAGACCACAGAGCAGAGTTTGTTAAGCTCCCTGAACTGTCAGCTGAATAATTATCTGGCAAAGCCTGTGTGTAGGTGACTCCCCACGATTTCACTTCTTTCCTGTTTTGAAACAGAAGGTCACCAACCTCTGGAACAAAATTTGGCAAACTCAGGGAATGTCAGCTTGTGGCCTTCCTTTGCATTAGGGGATATTTCATTTTTAAGTCTTGCAAATATGTATACTGAATGCCACTCAAGTACATGTCCTAGAGAATGTAGAATTTAAAAGCAAAAGAAACAAAATTAAAAAAAAAAAAAAACAACCAAACACAAAAACAATCTCCCTTTTTTCAGAGTGGCTGGAGCCAAATGAACCTTATGTCAAAACCCATGAACAGTCTGATAATTTATATTCCAAGGAGAAGGTGAAGCAGGAACATTGAGGGTCGAATGCAAAAAAAAAAAAATCTCATTACAGCCAAACCTGTTGGTTTTTTAATAAGATTAGAATTTTAAATTGTGGCCTTAAAATACCTGTCTGAGTGCTTGGACGTTACTGCTTTAAAATCTCCACTTGAGGGGCGCCTGGGTGGCGCAGTCGGTTAAGCGTCCGACTTCAGCCAGGTCACGATCTCGCGGTCCGTGAGTTCGAGCCCCGCGTCGGGCTCTGGGCTGATGGCTCAGAGCCTGGAGCCTGTTTCCGATTCTGTGTCTCCCTCTCTCTCTGCCCCTCGCCCGTTCATGCTCTGTCTCTCTCTGTCCCAAAAATAAATAAATGTTGAAAAAAAAATTTAAAATCTCCACTTGAGAGGCTGTGGCTGTGGGGGTTCCGGTTCACCTAAAAGGAGTCTGGACAGCTGATTCATGGGCGCTTCCTTCTGTCACATGAACCTTGTCCTGTTCTGAAACTGAAGTATTCAGTCTCCGTCCCCATAGGATGCAAGGTACCTTCAAGGAAAGACAATGCATGTCATTATCCTAACTTGACTGAAGGCAGAGCTAAGTAGAGATGAGACTTGAGATCTTGAACTTGAGATCAGACGCAAAACCTGACGTGGAGCAGAGATCACGCCTGGCTTGCCTTTGTCCCAAAAGAATGTTGCCTGGGTGTCAGGCAAGACTGTTGGCTACACCTGACCAGGTGTGGGGAGGTGGGATTTGCAGAAGGGAACACAAAACCTCAGTTCCTTGTAAAGGAGAAAAATGAACAGCCCACCTGCTCCAGAACTGGCCAGCTTCTCTCAAGTTTGGCCAAATAGGACATTCCGTTGTTCTTATCCTAAAACCAGAAAACTACCTCCCTCGCTCCTGCTACTGCCTCTGTTATCTGCCAAATGTCAAAATGGGCCTGGAGTAGGCTGTCTACTTTGCTCTCCAGGGTAGTAGAGTTGAGAGAGGGGCAATGATCAGCCAGTGCTGCCCTAGACTCATGTCTGCAGCTGGAAATCACCTAGCCACACAGTCTCCATTATCCATGCAGACAAAGGTCGTTGAGAAAAGAGGCAGGTCCCCGATACAGCCGTAACTATTCCTGATGGGACCTTATTTCCAGAATCAGCAGCCTACACTGTGTTCCCGGGACTGGAACCTGATAGGTACACCCTCTACATTCTCTGGACAAACCAAAGGATGATGAAACAAGCACAGAGAAACGACCCTGTGACCATGTGTTTGATCATTTCTCTTTGGAATCAGGAGCGAAGTTGGTCAATTGTTTTAGTTTGCCCTGATTTTTTTTCAGGGCACCCCAGCCCTCAGAAGGTATAGGTTTATATGACTGCCCCTTGCCTCAAGAAAAGCTGCAAACTCCTTGGGAAACCTTTCTATCCTGTCACCTGTATTTCCCAAAGTTTGGGGCGGGTATTCGTCTCCTGTCTTTACTTAGGCTACTTGATTATCAGTGTTCCAAGAACCTTAAACATCTAAGTCTTTTTCACCGTTTCTCCCTCAAGCTCTAAAGCCCTTGTGAAAACTGACCCTCAAGGTGCATCCTGATGTCTTGTGGACCCCAGGTGGGACATGAGGATTACGCCGTGATGAGTGTGCAAGCCAGTTTCAAATATGTGGTCCATGCCTATAAACCCATGAGAGCTTGAAAGCTGCCATTGTTGATGCCAGCCTGACTCAAAAGACAGAAAATATCCCAGCATACCCAGATATTCCTCTGAACCCCCCTTCCTGTCTTCTTTGATAACATTAACTCCATGATCACTGTTGTTACCAAATTCTGGTCTTTGCCTGCTGCCCCAACACCAGCCTTCACCCCTCCAACCCACTTTCTTTCTTTCTAGAAGCCACAACGATTGTATGACTTGCTCCAACCGAGCAAGTCAGTCAATGGCCAGAGGTCATTCTGAGCATTAGCTTTCCGTTCTGCAAAACCTACACACCAAATTGAAGAGCAGACAAATAAACCCACAGCTTGGGGTCATCAGGGTAAGGGGCTAAACTAAGATCTCATTTTATTTGACAGGTGCATGGAATCGGGGATTTAAATTTCAGGAAATCTCCATGAGAGAAAGTAAACCCATGGTCATGGTCATGGGTAGTCATCAGTCAAGTGTTACAATGTGGACACATTTCACCCAGATTGGTCCCCAAATAATTCCTAAAACTTCCTAAGTTTCTTGCAATCTATGAGAAATGTTTCTGGTGCCCCGCCCCCCACCCGTTTAGTCCTTACACATTTTTTAGTTTAGCGTTCCCAATATTGCAATTGTTTATGAATGGGGTGTAGTATCTGGCCAACTTACTGAAATTCTCTTACTAGTTCAGATCATTTTGCGGTTGATTGAGAAGGATTTTCCAAAGAGACAATTATACAGTCTTCAAGTAAAAACAGTTTTGTCTCTCCTTTTTCAATACTAATACATTTTGTTATTTTTTACCGTTTTATTCCATTAGCTCGGATGTTGAATAATAACAGTGTTCGTCTTTGTTTCTGATTTCAAACAGGTGACTCACCGCTGAAGATGAGGTTTGTAGAGGGGTTTCTTTCCTTTATGAAAATGAGGCTGTTTTATTTTATTTCTGTTTTGTTAAGTGTTTTTCTTTTTTACGTCACAAATGGGTCTTTGTTGAGCTCATTAAAACAGTTTTTCTGAATCTATTGAGATGACGTTATGATTTTTCTTGTAATTCTTGATCAAATGAATTACATTAATAGATTTCTTCATGTTGAAATATCCTGGCATTCCAGGGATAAGCCCTGCTTTGTTAAGACGTATTATTCTTTTAGGACACAGATGGATTTAATTTACTACTGTTTATTTAGGATTTTGGTGTCCTTGTTCATAAATTTGATTGATCTATATTTTCTTTCCCCTCGATATCTTTGTTTAGTCTTGTTATATGGTTACACAAGCCTCATAGATGAGAAGCTTCCAAGTTTCTTCTAGGTTCAGAAAGAAGTACTAGACCCCCCAAATTATCTGTTTCTTGGTGATCTGAGCTTTATGATTAACTTTGCCTAACTTTTAAATGTTTCTATAACTATACCTCTTTAGTCAATTTTAGAATTTATATTTGCCAGGAAATCACCATTTTAAAATCCACATTTGCACATTTATTTTAAAAAGTTGAGCATGGTATGTCTTTATGTTTTAAATCTTCTAACAGAATATACACCCTTTCTTATTTCTGATGTTTCATCAATTTTCTCCTTATTAATAATTGGCCTCGATCAAAGCCTTGATCATTTTTCTTTTTTTGCATTTACTCCATTAACTGCTGCATTTTCTCATGTTTATTCTCTCCTACTTTTGGGGGGATTACCTTACAATTTGTTATCTAGCTTTTGATTCATAAGTTTAGTAAAAAAACAAAAACCAAAAAAACCTCCTCATTATCTAATTAGACTATTTCAAACTGTAAAATGTTCTCTGCCTATTATTTTGCATGCATCCCACAAATTTTTTCTTTAATGCTGTGCTCACATTCTTGTTTATTCCTAACTCGTTTGTAATTTCAGTAAGATTTTCTCTTCAATCTAGGAGTTATTTAAAAGTCTGTGTTAAAATGTCCCGGTAATTGTATCTAGACTATATAAAGAACTCCTACACATCAATACAGAAAAGACAGCTCATTACAAAATGAATAAATAAACATTGGAACAGGCAACTCGTCAAGAAGATATATGAATGGCTAAAAAAACATGTGAAAAGGTAGTCAACATTAGCAGTCTTCAGGGAAATGCAAATTCAAACTACAATGAGATACCACTTGCCATCCACCAAACGGTTGCCATTTAAAAGATGTGAAAATATCAAGGGCGCCTGGGTGGCTCAGTCGGGTGAGTGTCCAACTTAAGCTTAGGTCATGATCTCACGGGTTCATGGGATTGAGTCCCACGTTTGGCTCTGTGATGGCAGTGTGGAGCCTGGTTGGGATTCTGTGTCTCCCTCTCTCTCTGCCTCTCCCTGCTCATGCTCTGTCTCTCTCTCTCTCAAAAAATAAACATTGAATGAATGAATAAATGAATGAATGAATAAATAAATAAATGATGTTAAAATATCAAATATTGGTGAGAAAGAGGAGCAAAAACTCTCGTATGTGGCTGACAAAAGTATAAAATGGTACAACCACTTCGGAAAAGAGTGGTAGTTTGGTGGCAGTTTCTAATAAAATGAAATTTACCTCAACCCGATAAGCCCGAGATTCTGTTACTAGGTACATGCCCCAAATAAATGAAGGCACATATTCAGAAGTGTCCTTGTACAAAAATGTTTCGGGGCGCCTGGGTGGCTCAGTCAGTTGAGCGTCTGACTGTGGCTCAGGTCACGGTCTCATGGGTTGTGAGTTCAAGCCCCGCATTGGGCTCTGTGCTGACAGCCCAGAGCCTGGAGTCTGCTTCAGATTCTGTGTCTCCTTCTCTCTGCCCCTCCCCCACTCGCGATCTGTCTCTGTCTCAAAAATAAATAAACATTAAAAATTTTTTTTAAAAATGTTTCTATTAGCTTTATGCAGGTGCAATAACCCCACACTGAAGTCTGGATTACCACACAGTAATATATCTGCACAGAGACATACTACTTAAAAAATGAGTAAGTAAATAAGGGATGAACATTTCGTACGTACCACAAACAACAGGGATGCATCTCAAAAACATGCTGAGTGGAAGAAGCCAGATACAAAAGAGTATCTGCTATGTGAACCATTTACATAAAGTTCAAGAACGGTGATTGTCTCTGGGTGGGGGCATGACCAGAAAGGGGCAGGAGGAATCTTTTTGGGGTGATGGAAATGTTCTAGATCTTCAGCTGGATGATTACTGAGGGGTGGACATCAAAATTCTGTGAGCTCCACAACTGAATTCTTTAACTATATAAATTATACTTAGAAGAACACCAACAACAACATAAAGTGTTTCCCTTCCCCCCTCCTTTTGTAGTTAATTTATACTATTATTGCATTTGGCTAGTAAATTTATTTAAATACATTCAACTACTTAATATTTGCTGAGATTTCCTTTGAATCGTAGTAGATAGTGCATTTTTGTTACTGCTCCATAAGTATTTGAAAGAATATATGTTATTCTGTTAAAAATAACCTATACAGCTTGTAGTGTCTTATTCAAATATACCAGTTTTCTTTTTTTTTTTTAAATGATATTTCTATTTCTGAGAGACCTATGCTAAAATTGTGACTTTTTCCACTCATTTCATCCGGTAAACATTTGCTGAGTTCCTACCCTTTGAGGAACATACATTAACAGTTGAGAGGAAAGGGTGTGGAGCTAGAACCCTTGGGCATGAATTCTGACTCTGGTATCGACTAGTTGTGTGACAGTGAATATGTCACGTAGCCTCTCTGTGCCCCAGTTTCTGTATCTTTAAGATGTGGACAGTATAGTATCTGTCTATGTATCTGTCATACCTATTAAATAAGTACATGTGAAGTCCTAGAATAATGCTTGCATATAATAAGGACTTAATAAATGTTACCTATTATATGACAGAAACTATGGTAAGCCCTGGAGATATTACAATGAAAGAGAGAATATAAGACATGGTCTGAGACCTCCTGGGGCTTACCTTGCAATGGAGGAGTCAGACTTTTTGTCAATTGCATATATAAATGTATAATTACGCTGGGATAAGTGCAATGAAAGAAAACAGTACCATAAGAGCATATAATGAAACATCATCTATTTTGAGGGACTGGAGAAGACTTTCCTAAGGAAGTAATATTTGGGTTGAGGAGAATGTGGTTATGACTTTAGAATACAAAATAATTTCTTTTTTTTTTTTTTTTTAATTTTTTTTTTCAACGTTTATTTATTTTTGGGACAGAGAGAGACAGAGCATGAACGGGGGAGGGGCAGAGAGAGAGGGAGACACAGAATCAGAAACAGGCTCCAGGCTCTGAGCCATCAGCCCAGAGCCTGACGCGGGGCTCGAACTCCCGGACCGTGAGATCGTGACCTGGCTGAAGTCGGACGCTTAACCGACTGCGCCACCCAGGCGCCCCCAAAATAATTTCTTAAACAAGTCACAGTAAGTATAGTTCATAAAATTTTATTGCATTAAAATTTAAACTTGTATAGTTCAGGGGCACCTGGCTGGCTCAGTCAGAGGAGAATGTGACTCTTGATCCTGGGGTCATGAGTTTGAGCCCCATGTAGACTATAGAGATTACTTAAATAAATAAAACTTAAAAATTTTTTTAACTTGTATAGTTCAAAAATACCATAAATAAATTGAAAAGACAAATCAAAGACAAGGACAAGATATTGCAATGCATATGGCTGATAAAAGGTTGCAAATTTATAAAGAAATTCTACAAATCAATAAGAACAAGGCAAAATGTATAAATGTGTGGACAGATGACAGGAACAAGCCATTCACAATAATCAATTGGAATTGCCAAAAAAAGACACATGTAAAGATTCCCAACCTCATTAGTAAGTAAGGTAACACACAAAATACAGTAACAATGAGATAACATATACCTGATATAGTGGCAAAAATTTTAAAGTCTAACAATATCAATATTTGGCAATGGGAACTCTAATGCTACTCCAAAAATAAATTAATATAATTAATTTGGAGAACAATGAGGCAATATCTAGTAATATATACTCTTTGACTCAGAAATTTTACTCCTGGGTATATACTCCAGAACTAAGCTTTCCAACTTTTTCACATCATGGCCCACAGTGGATTTTATTTTCCCCAGTTAGTGAGTCTCTGTCTTTTAATAGGAGAAATTTAGCCCATTTACATACATTGTGATAACTAATATGACTGGATATATTTCTAAAGCCTTATTTAATGTTTAAAAATTTTTTTTAATGTTTATTCATTTTTGAGAGAGAGTGTGAATGGGGGAGGGGCAGAGAGAGAGGGAGACACAGAATCCGAAAAAAGATCCAGTCTCTGAGCTGTCAGCACAGCCCAACGCAGGGCTTGACCCCACGAACTACGAGATCATGACCTGAGCTGAAGTTGGATGCTTAACCAACTGAGCCACCCAGGTGCCCCCAGCCTTATTATAATGTTTACCATGTATCCACTTTAAAAATATCTTTGTTAGTTTTCCTTTTTTAAACCATCTGTTTCAATGGATTTTGAATTCTTTGAGTTTTTTTTCCTCCAATAGTTTAGACATTATATACCCTATTTCTATTTTTTCTGGTGATTATCCTTACACTTTAAAACACACTTAAGCATATATCTTTCTACGTATCTCAGGTATTTGTCAATATCTCTATACTTACCCTGAAAAGTTATCTGTTAATTTGATGTAATTCCAATATTAGCCTGCTTTCAATTTCTTCTGTGTCCCAAACCCACCACACTGAAATCATTTGGGATTTTAGTTTTTGTTTAGTTCTTTTCATTATTTTTCACATCACGCTATCAAAATCTTTTAAGATTTAACAATTAAGCTTATAGGTTTATTGGCTTACCACCTTCCTGTGACTTGATCACTTTCTTAGGGTCGCTTTTCTTCTTTCTAGAAACACTCAAGTGTATCTTCTTAGAGAGGATCTGTGGGGGCTGAACCCTTGCATGTCAGTCATTTTATCCTGCTCTTCAATTTCACTGCTAATTTGGCTCAGCATAACGTTGTAGTTCTCTGGAGTTATTCTTTCTCCTGCAGTTGAAAATGAATGCATTCCCCTAAACTGCTATCCTTTAAAAAAAAAAAAAATTTAATGTTTATTTATTTAAAAAAAATTTTTTTAATGTTTGTTTTTGAGAGAGACAGAGACAGAATGCAAACGGGTTAGAGGCAAAGAGAGAGGGAGACACAGAATCCGAAGCAGGCTCCAGGCTCTGAGCTGTCAGCACAGAGCCTGACACGGGCCTCGAACCCATAAACTGTGAGATCACGACCTGAGCTGTAATCAGACACTTAACTGGCTGAGCCACCCAGGTGCCCCCAAACTGCTATCCTTTTGATCTATTGCTGCCTTCCCTTATATTTCAGTTTGACAGGTATTTGTTGCATCCCTACTATGTGCTGAGTGTATTTCTAGGTATTGGGGATACAAGGGGGCTTGACATAGGCCTGTGTGTGGTGTGCTGGGTTCACTACCACCACTGTGTATGGACTTCCTAGGTTTCCCCCTGATGACTGGCCGAGGGGCCGCCCTGCTCAAAGTTAGTCAATGCCTAGGCTGGCCTACAGCACGGTGTGGTCTGATAATCGACAAAAACCCAAAAACAATAGCAACAAAACTGACCTGTGCTGATTCAGTTCTCATTCTTATGCATTTCAATGGGGAAATGCCCAAAGAACAAAGCTATAAAAATAACCCTGCCTACTCTCTGGCCATCTGCCCACCAAGGGCAGAGCTCAGGGCATCTGGTCCTTTTGATAAATGCTCTGGCCCAGCTCTGCCTGACAAACCACATCTTTCCCACTATCACTTTCTGGGCAATGACATGTGAGAAAGGAAAGACCAGCTTCTTGGCACAGCAATTCCCTAAAGAAAGAAAACAGGGCTGGGGGTGAGGGGAGCATTTATTAAATCACCTGGAGGACTTTTTAAAAATGCATGTTCAGGGTCCTTAACCCCAGAGAATAAGATTTGACCTCTTGGGATGGTGGGGTAGGGGTTAGGGGAACTTGGGGGAAGCAAATATACATTTTGAAAAAGTATCTCAGGGAATTATCACCTCTATTGTATGTATGACCACTCTGCCACTTCTGAGTTGACAGCCACTGATGTTATCCAACCCTGTCATTTTATAGATGAAGCAACCACAGTCCAGAGAGGAAAGGTGATTGATTTGTTCCAGGCCATACAGCTAGTTGATAGCAGAGCCAGGATGAGACTCAAGGACACTTGATTCCTAGACTGTGCTTCTCCTGACTACCTATAATTCATCTTTAGCTCTTGCTCTTCTTGAGATCATTATCATCACCATCACCACCATTAATGTCATCACCATGATCACCATGATCACCACCATGATCACCATGATCACCACCATGATCACCATGATCACCATGATCATCATCATCACCACCATCATCACCATCACCATGACCACCATGATCACCATGATCACCATCATCACCACCATCATCACCACCATCACCATGACCACCATCATCACCATCATCGCCACCATCATCACCATCACCACCACCATCATCATCATCATCACCATGACCACTATCATCACCATGACCACCATGACCACCATCATCACCATGACCACCATGACCACCATCATCATCATCATCACCATGACCACCATCATCACCATGACCACCATCATCACCATCATCACCACCATCATCACCATCATCACCACCATCATTACCACCATCACCATGACCACCATCATCATCATCGCCACCATCATCACCATCATCACCACCATCATCACCATCATCACCACCATCACCACCATCATCACCATCATCACCATGACCACCACGACCACCACCATCACCATGACCACCATGACCACCATCATCACCATCATCACTATCATCCTCATCACCTTCACCAGAAGACTACTGGCCACTTATATAAACTTATCTCTCCAATTGACAATAATCCTACAAGGCAAGTGTTGTCTCTGTTTCTTACTCCTTGTCCACATTCCCAACTTTTATGTACTATTCATCCTGACACACAGGATCTGTCATCAGCAGCAAATGCCTCTATCTGTGCCCTGTGTCTTTTGTTGTAAGGTGTCTTCCTATCTTGCCCTAATGGAAAGTTGGCTGTGCTCTGCAAACGCCACCTCATCCGCAGACCCTCAAGTGGAGGTTATTTGGGCTTCATCAAGGCTCAAGGGTGGAATAGCTCTCCCATTGTACCTGTAATTCAGTTCTCTTCACTCCTCCTTCAAAACTCCCATCCTTCAAAATTCAGGGCACACTTTACTACCTGCCACTGTTATCTACCAACTTACTCTCCTTCATTCATTAATGACTCTCCATGTTTATTCCTGACACCATTCTTGGTGACTTAACAACCTTGAAGAATAGTGATCCATTCCACACCTTGCTCCCTGCATTCTATGACCTCCTCACCTCCAACAATCTTTCATTTCTACTCCCCGGCGCCCCAGCCACACTCTCATGCTTATGTTCTAAACCCCAGTATCAGTTCTCTCTGGTCTCAATCCATGACTTTACCACCTTTGTATCTTTCTTTATAAAGATAAAAAATACAGTGAAACTTTGGTTTGCAAGCATAATTCATTCCAGAGACATGCTTGTAATCCAAAGCACTCATATATCAAAGAGAATTTCAAGAACCATTAGCTCAGTTGTGATCATGTGACATTTGGTGTCATGTACTACTCTTATTGCAAGACGTCGCTCGCTTATCAAGTTAAAATTTATTAGAAGTGTCTGCTCGTCTTGTGGAACACCTGCAGAACAAGTTACCAAGTTACTCACAATCCAAGGTTTTACTGTATATGCAAAGATAACATATATGTCCGTATAAATGCAAAGATTATTTATATATATTGGGATTGTATATATAAGGAGATATTAACATATGTGATAGGTATATATATCTCCTCATATCCTCACTTGCCTCCTTGTTCTGCTTAATTCCATGATGTATCATTATAGTGACTGCTTTGTGTATTCTCTCATTTCCATGGCTTTTTCTTTTCATCGAATTCATCTGGCAAAAGCCCATTCAAGATTAAATCCCTACCCGTAGAGTTTGTGACCACAGCTGAGAGGCTCGAAGTTGTGACAGAAGATATAAAGTGGCTGGAGGGTTTACTTTCAACACATTACTGCACACCCCAAATAGGACCCCAGCGCGCTCGGTGGTTTTACAATCCTACTCTGTGAAAAGATTGTTCCGCCCCTTCTCCTCCCTCTTTAAGCTTTATACATGGCTGGCTTCATGTGAGTTCCCCTAAAAGCTGTGCCTGAGACACAGGTCTACCTGAAGGTAGTTTATATGGGAAGTGATCCCAGAGATCCAGAGAGAGGACCTGAGGAGTGAAACAGGAAAAGTGGGAAAGGCGATGGATGACCTCTGGTAGATGGGCAGTTCAGCACCCATGACCTGTGGGTGACGGATGAGTTATGGGTGATGGATGACCAATCTCAGGGACCTTCTGAAGAGCCTGAGGGGCTGTAGCTCAGATTTTTCCACTCAGGGAATGGAACGGGTGAGCATTTACCTCCAGGCTCCTGTCTCCCATTGCCCAGTGGGGGCCTCTTGCAAGAACTTCCCCGCATCTCCAGGCCATCCCAGGGTGAATGCCACACAGCAGCTTCTAGAACGCCCGGGGCCAGACACTGTCACATTGTTCTTGGGCTGAGCTGCTTTGAAGCCAGTCCAGAACGGTCCCTCCAACAGTCTGTAAAGTAGGGAGTGTCTCCCTGAGAGGAGAATTGAACTGAGGCACAAGGGAAGCCCCTTGCACCCTTCACATCTGTCACGGACCCTCCAAGTCCAACTGAGTCTTTACCCAAAGCTGCGACTTCTGCCGGGACTTCATGCAAGAGAGAGTGATATGAGCTCCAGTCCCCCTGCTCCAGCTAATCTCAAGGCCATAGCCGATACTGTCCATTTCTACCACCCATTCTCCACTGCCCTCCACCTCAGCCAGCACTGAGCAGGTCTAAGTTGATTGCTGTATGCAGGGTCAATGATCTTTGTTCCCTGAGAGGTCTGCCTCTCAATGCCTTGCGTTTACATCTGGTCATGGGTGCTGAACTGCTCATGTACGTAGTTATTGGACAGGAAAGCATTGAAAGCCACTCATGTAGGTCTCTTGGGCGCAAACACAGATTTCCCTGCTCTTGTGGGTTGGCTGGCTGCTCACCCCACTGGTTCCCAGGGCAGCATGAGGGGTGTGAGGGCACTGGACCTGGGAAGAAGGTCAGAGGTACAGAGATAAGAGTTGTTAGAAGCCGAGAAGGTCAGCTCCAAAAGTCTTCCACATGAGTGGGACGTAATGCCAAAGACCTTCTCTGTTAACCTCACAAAGAAGGACCTGTCTTCTCTCGAATACATATCGTGTGCCAGGCAGCCTAGGTGCCTTGTTTTCACGTGAGAGGTAGCATTGCGGTCCCCATTTCCATCAGGGGGAAACTGATCAGAGCAGGAAGCCAGCTCACCAAGCCGGATCTCGCCCACAGGATGGATCCCACAGCCCTTCCCGTCAGCCCTGTGCCTCCAACCTGGGGGTTGAGGCCAGTCAGGTGACAGGTGAGAACATACCCTGCAGGGCCCAGAGAGCTCGACCTGATTAGATGTGTGTAAAACACGCACGGAATCGAGCACAGAGACATGGCCAGCCACTCGGCATGCCCCCTGGGGTCTCCCCCCTCCCCCCATGCTCTTCCCCATGGCACTCTCTCTTCTCTCCCCACTGTTCTTGTAGGAGCGGCGCATCTCCGGTAGAGCGGTAAGTGGGAGTCCTTCAAGTCCATCCAGGGAAGGCAGGCACCTTTCTCCTTCAGGGCACTCCCTTCCCAGAAGGGCCCCATCCACAACATCCAAGCAGGTCACCCTTCGCAGGGTTGGGTAAGGTCCAGAGGCACAGCAAACCAGCTTCAAGGCCACCTCCTTCCTCGAGGAAACCCTGGTCTGTGCCAGGAGGAGTGATACTGCGGTAATGACAGCTCACAGGCTGGGGCAGGGACGGGTGCAGGCAGGACCCAAATCAGAGACTGACCTCTCTCGCAGGAGAGGCAGGGAGGCGGCGAGGTGCTGGGGGCACACCGGCCCCTCTTACAGGTACCCAGAGACTGAGGAAGAGCAATCAGATGGAGAAGCTGCAAATCTGGATATGTTGGGAGAAGCAGCAGGCCACCAGGGCTGACCCATGATCAGAAGCATCAGGGCCGCAAACAGACTGTGTGGATTTCGAGAACACCCGGCATAGAGAAGCTGTGGCCTGGGTGGGGGCAGCCGGAACAGCCCTGGCCGACCCCAGCTCCCCAGCCCTCAGGCTCCCTGCCTGGCATGTCCCCCTGACCCAGCCTCCTCTCCTCAGATCCCATTCCCGTGCTCTGTCTGCTGGTCCCACGTCACTGTCCTTTCCTGAGCGGCTCCAGCAGGTCTGAGGTAACGAGAGAAAGGGCTCGTGTCCAGAGTGTGCCTCCTCCCACCAGCCGTGGCCCAGCCCGGGTGCACCTGCTCCAGGCCACACTCCTTGCCTGGCCGTGAGACCATGCACAAGTCATTTGGCTTGTCTCTGCCTCAATTTCGTCCTCCATAAAACAGGGATGGCGATGGTAATGAAGACACTACCCTCCTACTATGGTTGTGCGGATTGAAGCGATATGTATAGTTGTGAAAGAGGTACAGAGCTGATGTATGTTTTGAACCATTTCATTTACTCTTCCCAACAGTATAATTGGTCCCATTTTACAGACGGGGAAATAGAGGCTCCAAAATGAATAGGCATTCACTGAAAGGCATGCATGAAGTAGGAACCGCAATTTGAAACCCAAACTTTTTTTTTTTTAAGTTTATCTATTTATTTTTGAGAGACAGGGAGCACATGCGCACATGCAGGGGAGGGGCAGAGAGACAGAGAGAGAGAGAGAGAGTCCCAAACCTGATCCAGGCTTGTCCCAGGGCATTGCCTGATCCAGGGCTCGATCGCACGAACCGTGAGATCATGACCTGAGCCGAAATCAAGAGTCTGACGCTTAACCGACTGAGCCCTCCAGGCGCCCCTGAAACCCAAATTGTGTGACTCTGAAGCCCGGGGTCTTTTTGACCTCTCAAAGTCAGAGGCCCAGACAGGCAGGCAGGTGAACAGGGAAAGGGTGCTCCTGCCACAGCCAGGGCTTGAAGTGGTGCTGCTTCACTTTTGCTTCTGTGCGGCGTCCCCACAGCAGACCGCAGTCCAGAGCCAAGATTCCTGCTGTGGAACTCGAGGCCTGACCGCAAGCTGGACGGAGGCAAGAATAGAGACCCAGGTATCTTTCCCAGCCCCGCCTCCTCACCTCCCCCCCCCCCACTTCCTGCAGGCAGGGCCACCTGCTGAGAAGCCCTGGGCTCTGTGCAGGAGAGATGGGCATATGCCAAAGCAGGAGTCGCAAGCTAGTGTCAGAATCGCCCCCAAAGTCCTTCCTTCAGCTTCTTGCAGCGCTGTTTCTGGACAGAAACCAAGCGGAAGGACGGATGCTGTGGAGTCTGCGCCTTGTACAAAGGCTCTGGCCAACCGCATTCCCCAAGCTCTCCCAGGACTTGCTTCTCTTCTCAGTTTGCTCCTTGCAGCCGCGTGCCAAGCATTCAATTAACCACCCTGCTTCTGCCCCCTCCCCAGCCAAATGGGTACCAGATGCACCATGGAGACCTCGCACAAAGGGGGGAAGAAAAACTTTACTCAGGCAAATCAGCAGAGAAAACACAATTAGGCAAAGCAAACAGAGCCAAAGAGGCAGCGGCGAAGCCAAGTGTCCGGGAGCCCACCTGCAACACATTTCCAGGAGCCCCTCAAAAACCATGCTTTTCTAATGGAGGCCATACAGAAGCCCCCGCCAGGCAAAGGGAGGCTCTGTGCCTAGCAGATCAAGACAGCCTCCACGCCAGGGGCTGGGGAAGTGGGGAGAGGGGGGGTTGCTTTTGTTCCACCCTCGCGTCTCCAGGAAGGATGTAGGTAGGGCCTGTGGCTGCTGCAAAAACACGAGAGCTCGATGCCAAGAAGCCACCAGAAAATTGGCCCCACTCCTTCCTTATCTTGCAATCTAGACTTCCAGCCAGGGCCAGGAGCAGCAGTCACTGGAAGAGGGAGGGGTTAAGGCCAGGTTTGCAATAACTCTTTTCTCTGGGAGGCCCTGCTCAGATCACTGGGCTGAGAATAACAGCTGCTGCCCCGGGGAGCAGGGCGAGGGCTCCTTGATGGCCTGTTCAGAGCATCAGGCAGCCCTGGAGGAGCTTCTGCCAACGGCAAACACCCAGAGCCCCAGGTAGCGTGATCCTGCCAGTTCCCGGGAGCAGCAGCCGAATGCGAGGTTCAGGTGTCCGCTACCAACATCACAGATCCGGAAGTACGATGTGCAGAATGGCCTCTTACCCCCGCTCAGAGTGGTACACTCTTAGCCCTCCCCCCACCCACGTGCCATCCCCAGAGTGGTACAAGGCAGGGAGGCAGTGCCGGGAGCACAGCCTCTGGCATCAGACAGAGGCTCAAATCCCAGTTTCCACCGCTTATGAGAAGCTGTGCAATGCCCAGCAAGTTACTGAACCTCTCTGGGCTTGTTTTCTCATTGGTAAACTGAAGAGGGACACCTAAGTTTGCCAGGAAGATTAAGTGAGATTTGGGCACATACGGTGGTGAATACATACCTGGCACCTGGTGGGAACTTAATACATGGCAGCAGCTTTGTGCCAAGCTTATTAGGAGGAAGCTTCGGAAATCAGGAGGTGGGAGAGAGAGGAGGGAACCGGCAGAATAAATGTGGAGCGGAGAGGTGTGAGGCCACGAAAAACCAACAGTTGAGAAACATGTAGCTGAGCGTTGGTGGAACCAGCTCGTGAGCTCTGCTAGCTTATTAGCAGAGGAAGGTTCTATTTTGACAAACCAAACCAGCCCAAAGGAGGCATCAGCCATAGGGCATCTACGTGGTGGAAATGAGCACCCAGCTCATTTCTTTTCCATCTCCAGAGCCTCGCATGGTACCTGAGCCAGCCCTGAGCCCTCCACTCCTCGCAGGGCTGTGTTGACTCTACCCACTCCCCATGCCCTTTATTGCATAAATAATGCCAGAAAGGGGGCGCCTGGGTCACTCAGTCAGTTAAGCGTCTGACTTCAGCTCAGGTCATGATCTCACGGTTCACGAGTTCCAACCCTGAGTCGGGCTCTGTGCTGAGAGCTCAGAGCCTGGAGCGTTTTTCAGATTCCGTGTCTCCCTCTCTCTTTGCCCCTCCTCTGCTCACACTCAGTCTCTGTCTCTCAAAAATAAATAAACATTAAAATAGAAAGAATGCCAGAAGGAAGTGGGAAATTCCACCTGGAAAGGCAGGCGTCCCGGAATTCTTGCAGGAGGCTGTGTCATGGCTAAGTCCCAGGAACTGGCCTGGACAGCCCAGGGGTGTGGCTGACCTCATGGGTGGCCCAGAGGTCACCACCTCTGTCCACAGGTCTGATGCCCCACGCCCCTCGGTGGGACTGGCGTCCTCTGTGAACCTCTCCTCAGAGCTGGTCAGAGCTGTGGGCCTCACGCACTCACAGGGAGAGCTGCAGGGGGGAGCCACGTGGCTGGAATCTGGAATCTTCTATCTTGTGATTTAATTTAACAGTGTAACAATGAACTTCAACCTAGAAATACAGCTTTTTCACCAGTCTCTATGCATCTATATGGTCCTGCGGCGGTCCCAGGGTGGAATGAATGGGCTGGCTGCAGTCAACTGCCCCCCAGAACACAGGGAGAGGAGTCAATACAAATTGGCAGCCAGAGACCAGCTCCTGAATGACAGAAAGGCGGCAGGGAGTCAAACCTTTGTCCCCCGTGTCCTAGGACACCACCACTGGTATTGTTCTGAATGGCACGTGAGCAGGGGCCCTTCCCCGCCGGGCACGGGTGGCGGAGAGCACAAGCTCTGCCATCAGCAGGCCTGTCAGAATTTGAGGCTAGCATCTTCTGTGTGGTCTCACGACCTCGAGACTTAATCTATTCCGCTTCAGCTGCCTGTAGCGCTCCACGACCAGGGTTTCTGTGAGGATTAGGCGGCATAAAGTATACGCAGGGCCCGGCTCAAGAGGGGCCGATCCCCTTTCTCTGTGGCTTGAGTTCACAGACCAAGTTTGCGGGGTCTGGCCAGACCTACTGTGCTGCTCCTTCAGGGCCCGAGCCCCCTGTGCCGAAACACAGTCCCTGCCGGCTCCCCATCCCCCGGACCCCACACACTCGGCCCTTCCTTCGACCTGCAGTTGTCTCTCTCCAGCTCCTCGGCACCCACAGCCGTGAGTGAGCTGCTGCAGCCACGCTCCAGTAGACAGCCCGACAGCACCTCCCCGCTCCGACCCACCCTGAACCACCCAAAAGCCACCACTCAGGACATAGGAACAAAATATGTCCCGCACAACGGCAGAAAGGTCAGAGCATAATCTTTTTCTGCGACAAACTGGACAGGACAGTACACAGGAGAGACACGTCCGTTTTCCAGGAAGCCTATAGCTTCAAGAGGTCTGAGACCCAATCTGGGCTTCAGATCTACCAGACGACGGAAAAGAAAAACCAGCAGGATAAATCTGCGGGGAAATGTGAGTTGGTTTTTTGGATGAGCAGTAACTCTGGGGCTCTGTCTTGACTTTTTTTTTTTTTTTAATTTTTTAAATGTTTATTTATTTTTGAGAGAGGGAGAGAGAGAGAGACAGAGTGTGAGTAGGGGAGGGGCAGAGAGGGAGACACAGAATCGGAAGCAGGCTCCAGGTTCTGAGCTGTCAGCACAGAGCCCGATGTGAGGCTCGAACTCATGAACCATGAGATCATGACCTGAGCTGACGTCGGACGCTTAACTGACTGAGCCACCCAGGTGCCCCTTGACTTATTTTCTATCTGTGCATGTCCGTCCTGGAGGCCAATGGGGTGGAGAAAAGGGCAGACCCTGGATGAGAGACAGTCTTGGCCTCTCCACCTGTGTCACTCACCCCAAACCGGGTAAAGCAGTCATATTTGTATTTGGGGCTTGCTTAAGTTATTCTGGGGCTCAAAGCAGAATTTTACCAAACCTCTTTCAAGCCTACTACCTGTTTCAGAACAAAAGCTGCTGGAGGAGCCAGCCTGTCTTGTCCGGGATCATGTCTTCTGTGTCTGCCCCAAGGCCTGGCACCTAGCAGGTCCTCAGTAAACGTTGTGGAGACTGAACTCCTCCGGTCTGCCGTGGATCTGTGAGAAGAGAGATAAGGCAGGTAGACATTTCGAACTCCAATCCTTGGGGCTTCAAACCCAGAGTGATGGAGCCATGTACAGGAAGGTCCATAGAGCTACAGGGATTTGATAAAATGCAGGGTGGAGAGGAGATCTCTTGGCTACTAGATTTATTTGGATCACTTATTCACTCGCTTAGATAAGGACAACCACTTGAAGGATTAAAAACAAAAACAAAAACAAAAAGACATAGTCATGCCTCAGACAACAGGTTTTTGGTTCTTCACAAGCACGAGAGAGAGAGAGAGAGAGAGAGAGAGAGAGCGCTCAAATTTTGGAACCTCCAGTAGGATTACGTTCCAACCTAGCCTAAGCCAGCCCTTCCAATCCAGTTGCTAACCACAAAGAACCCAGCTGCCCGCCGCTACGATACTACCCAGGACGCTACCCACCGGGCACCCAGGATGGCGGTATTTCAGACATTCCCAGTCCACTGGTGAGTGGAGCCTGTTCTGGTCCCTCCTCCTGGGTGAGGAAAAGGTGAGCCCTGAGAGGCATGAAATATAGCCTCTCTTCCTGATGGCCTCCATACAGCCAGTCTCCCATCTGGCCCTTCAGGATGGTTTCTGACCTGGCCTTTAATTCTGTCTACATCTTGTTGAGTGTTACCTGTAGTAGAACATGTATCTGGCAACACGTAGGACAGCAGCATGTGTTACAAGGAAATACTCCTCAACAGAAACCTTCTGGAAGGCGGGACGTCTTTGTTCTTGAAAACTACAATATAATACCACCCTAAACTGGCAGGGGGAGGCAGAGGGTTATGTGTATGAGGGGAGAAACAATTGAGTGACAAAGCCAAGACATGAATACCATGTCTCAGCAGTTAAGTCTGTGAGCAAAGTCCCTATCAGATCCCCGACACGGGCAATACGCCTGCAGACTGAGCGGCTGCCACCAAGAGAACGTGGGGCCAACGTGACATTTAGCTCTCCTTTACTCCCAACTAGTGCAACATTCTCTAGACAGGCCAACTCTTCCTAACAATGGTAGCAGAAACGCATGCTAGTTTTTTAAGTTATGTATTTATTTTGAGAGAGAGAGCATGTGTATGCATCCACAAGCGGGGAAGGGGCAGAGAGAGAGGGAGAAAGAGAATCCTAAGCAGGCTCCATGCTGTCACTGCAGAGCCCAATGCAGGGCTTGATCCCACAAATCATGAGATCGGGACCTGAGCCGAAACCATGAGTTGGACGCTCAACCAACTGAGCCACCCAGGAGCACCAGTGCATCCTAATTTTAACCTCTAAGAAGTGAGTAAACATGGGTATCTAACAAGACTTTAGTAACTAATAATTCACAGCTTCCGAACTTATTTATGCTTTTCAAGGAATCATCTCAGAAAACCTTATGTTTTAAAATCCAGATCGCGGGGCGCCTGGGTGGCACAGTCAGTTAAGTGTCTGACTTCAGCCAGGTCACGATCTCGCGGTCCGTGAGTTCGAGCCCCGCGTCAGGCTCTGGGCTGATGGCTCGGAGCCTGGAGCCTGTTTCCGATTCTGTGTCTCCCTCTCTCTCTGCCCCTCCCCTGTTCATGCTCTGTCTCTCTCTGTCCCAAAAATAAATAAAACGTTGAAAAAAATTAAAAAAAAATAAAATAAAATAAAATCCAGATCGCTTGCTTCTCCCTAACTATCCACAGATCACTTGTGGCTTCAGCATTGAGAGTTCTGTGTAATGTCCACAGGCCCCTGTTTCTCCTGCCCCCACCCATGAAATGTAGGTGGCACCGTCCCCCCCCACCCAAACACAACAAGACAAAACCCAATGACCCAGCAATGGGCCTCCAACCAACTCCAGTCAGTTGCTGAACAACTTTGTCCCCTTTGTGGTTAAGAACATCGCCTGCCTCCCCTCCGTGGCTTCTGCTCTGTTAGGCAGCTTACTTAAAAAAATAAATTTTTTTTAATCTTTATTCTTGAGAGAGAGAGAGAGAGAGAGAGAGAGAGACAGAGCACAAGCAGAGGAGGGGCAGAGAGAGGGGGAGACACAGAATCTGAAGCAGGCTCCAGGCTCTGAGCGGTCAGCATGGAGCCCATTTTGGGGCTCGACCTCACAAACCATGAGATCACGACCTGAACCGAAGCTGGCTGCTTAACTGACTGAGCCACCCAGGTGCCCCTATGCAGCTTACTTTTAATAGCCCAACCACGCCCTCAGACACAGTCTTCTTGCCTGCCCTGCTGCTCCCCTCTGTACTTGCTTGAACAATTTGTAATGGAACTGGGTATGGCAAAAAGGTAAATATTTTGAAGAGAAGGGAAAGGAAAGGAAGGAGTCAGGCCTCAGGACTAATGCAACAAAGGACCTGACTACTTCCAGATTCTTCCGTTTCCAATCTCCTCTCCCACCTCCTCTGGTGTCCAGTCCATTTTCCTAAGGTTAGCTTCCTTCACCTGGTTGGAAACTGGCCATGAGCCACTCGCACAACATACAGCCTGTCATGAGAGAGGGATTAATCTCTTTCTACAGTGTATGTGCACACACACACAATCCTAGACAAGGATTCTGAGTGACCTGGCCTCGTGCCAGGGTCTGCATGTTTGAGTCCCCTTCTCCCCAGTTCACATGTTGAAATTCTAACCCCCCAAAGTGATGGTATTAGTAGATGGCGACTTTGGGAGGTGGTTAGTTCATGAAGGAGGATTGTTGCCTTATCAAAGAGGATCCAGAGAGATCCCTAGCTCCTCCCACCACGTGAGGACACAACGAGAAGTCTGCAGCCTGGAAGAGTGCTCTTACTTGCCCCCCACCCAGCACCCTGATCTCAGACTTCCAGCCTCTAGAATTGTGAGACATGAATTTCTATTGTTTATAAGCCATCCAGTCTGTGGTATTTTTAGCAGCCCAAACAGAGTAGATACTCGGTAATCAAGACAATCAGGTTTTGTGCCCATTTCCATGACTATTGGGTATTATGATTGAAAGTACCGATAAAAGGATGTGGAAGGAATGGAAGGTAAATTCCTCCAAAGAAAAGGGGGGGGTGTTGTTTCAAGATGAAAAGAAGGGTGATTACAGGCCAAAAGAAATGATGCCCACTATACCTTCCTTAACCAGAATCTTTCTCAAAATACACTGCTTAAGATTGCTATGGCCCAAAGTGTCCCTCAGACAACTTTCCTGTGACTATTCTTCTCACACTCACAGGTGACATTCATATCACATTGTTCCAGAGCCCAAGACAAGAATGTTTTAAAATCTCCAGTTGTTCATTATATGTGCAGACACAAACACACACACACACACACACACACACACACACACACACAGTTGTATTTTAAAGTTGTATTATAAAACCCCCCACAGGGATACCTGGGTGGCTCAGTCGGTTAAGCATCTGACTCTTAATTTCGGCTCAGGTCATGACCTCGTGGTCATGGGATCAAGCCCCAAGTTGGGCTCCACACTTGAGTGAGGAGCTGCTTGGGATTCTCTCTCTCCCTTTCTCTCTGTCCCTCCCCTTTATCATGCATATGCTTGCTCTCTCTCTCTCTCTCTCTCTCTCAAAATCAATCAATCAATCAATCAATCCACCCGTCCCACAAATTATTATCACTGTTTATACAATCAAAGTTCATTTAGGCTTACCTGCATATTTTCCATTTTATTCTCACTTTATTCCTTCCATTTTACACGTTCCATCTGGAATCACTATCTTCCTGCCTAAAGTACATGCTTTAGAATTTTCTTTGGTGTGAGTCTATCAATGGAAAAATCTCTCCATCTTTTTGTTATGATTCTAGATTTTATGTTTGTATATTTTATTTCTTCTTACTCTTAAAAAAGTTTTTTTTAATGTTTACTTATTTTTGAGAGAGAGACAGAGAGACAGAGAGAGAGCACGAGCAGGGGAGGGGCACAGAGAGGGAGACACAGAATCCGAAGGAGGCTCCAAGCTCCCAGCTGTAATCACAGAGCCCTATGTGGAGCCCAAACCCATGAGCCATGAGATCATGACCTGAGCCAAAGTTGGACACTCACCTGACTGGGCCACCCAGGTGCCCCTATTTCTTCTTACTCTTGAAGACTATTTGCGTGGGTATAGAATTCTATGCTGGTAGAATTTTATTCTTTCAACATATGGACCTCATCACTTTACTGGTCACTAGCTTCCATGTAATTGTTGAGAAGCCAGCTGTCACTCTAGTAGCTATTCCTTTGTTGATAACCTTTTTTTCTGTACCTGTTTTGTGATTTTCTCTTTGGTTTGGTTTTCTGTGCATCACTGTGAAGGGTGCATTTCTCTCTGTTTATACTGTTTGGCATATGGCGGGTCCCTTAAATCTGTGGTTTTAGTTCTAGAAATTTATCAGCAATCATCTCTTTTAATTTGCCTCTATTCTGTTCTTTCCCTCTTCTTTTGGAACTGTTTTTACACTTATTTTAAGTCTTCTTACACTATCACTTGTGTTTCTCATCCTCTCCTGTATTTTTCCTTTCTTTAATTAATTTGTTTTTTGTTCTTTCTGTACTGTGGTTGAGAGAATTTCTTTTGATCTATTTTCCAATTTACTAATTCTCTCTTCAGTCTGATCTAATGTGCTAATAATCTGATTTACTGAATTCTTAATTTAAATTATATCATTTTTAATTCTAGACATTCTATTTGGCTCTTTTTTAAACATCTGCTATATCACTATTCATACTTTCCAATTTTTTGCTGATAAAATTGACCTTAATAAGAGCTTTATAGTCTGTATATGATAATTCTGATCTTTTAAAATCTATTTATGTTATATCTTTGAGCTGGTTCTTGCTCAAAGTGTCTTATTTCCTTGTATGTTTAGTTTTCCTTGAATGCATGCTGGCCACTGTACTTAAAAGTAAGATGTTTTTAGAAATAATTCAAAGCTAACAAAGATAAAGTTACCTTCCTTCAGAAAGGACTTTTGTTTTCTTTGCTCATCACCAGTCTGGGATCACCTTAATCCAAGTTCAGGGCTGGAAGTTGTTTT